GCCACTGCCCTGAAGACCCAATTGTCGCCCCTGACCTTGGGATGCTGCCCCCTTAACCTTCATTGGATGGGACTTTCCCTTGAATTTTTTGTTCCCCAATAAAAGCCCACTCCCTGGCGTGTTCTCCCTCTTTCGATAGCCTCTTCTGTAAACCTCGCCACCGCATTAGGTGGCTGGAGGCGGGAGCTAGGAGAAGCTGTCCTGGAGTGGTATTAAAGGTAATAAGAGTCTTGTCTCTTTAATTTAAAACTCCCTAGCATTTACTCATGAATCAAACCTTCTTTCATGAAGCCAGCACTGGTCGCGTGGCAGACACCTAAATTAATGTATTTTTCTGATCAGTCTTATCTAACTGTAGAGATTTTTACACTCTTTGTTCAGAGACCAGTTTTTCAACAGTTGACTCTCAAATATATTAGAAAATTTCTTCTTACAAAATCCTAAGGAGAGGGGCTGGAGTTGTGGCTCAGTGGTTGAGTGCTCATCTAGCATGAGCAAAGTCCTGGGTTCAATCCTCAGCATCACATAAAAATAAGATAGCGGTATTGTGTCCAACTACAACTAAAATATTAAAAAAAGAATTCCTAAGGAGGACATAGACATGATGATGTTGGGATTAAGTCTGGTAGTCATCAAGGATATATAGCTGGCTACCTGAACCATTTTTTTTAATATTTATTTTTTAGGTGTAGATGGACACACTACAATGCCTTTATTTTTATGTGGTACTGAGGATCGAACCCAGGTCCCGCCCATGCTAGGCAAGCGCTCTACCGCTGAGCCACAATCCCAGCACCTCTGAACCTTTGATTTCAGTGTCTATACCAAGGGGTATGGACAGCTCTGCAGTATCTATCAGACTTTACACCTGACAGTTCCACTGTACAGACCTACCATATATTTAAGTCATAATGTAAAAGTCTGACAGGCTCTATTTTAATTTTTTTAAGAGAGAGAAGTTTTTTAATATTTATTGCTGGGAGCCATTAGCCAAGTAGGTATGACAATTTCCTTGCCAGCGTACCCCATGTTGCTTAGTGGAAGGACTCGTGGAAATAGGACATTTTGCAGTGACATTGCATGTAGGTGACCTTGCTCAAGGACCAGGGCGGATCCGGGTTTAGGGCGTTCCCGGTTTAGGTTCCAGGTTTAAGGTTTAAGGTTATTCCTGCTGGGAATAGGGCGTATCCTGCTGCCTGAGTTCCCCTTGAGTTCTCATGGGATTGAGACAGTATTTTTTTGGGAGATAGAAGCCCAGTGGGGGTGGATTTGGGCAGAGAACGTGGATTTCCCCAGAACGTGATTGTAGACGGCTGGTGTGAGTTCGGGAATAAAGAGTTGCTGTTTGAATCTACAAGCTGTGTGGTGGCTCGTGATTGTGTGCCCAGCCAGACTGCGGCATTTGTGCCCAGCCAGACTGCGGCAATTTATTTTTTAGTTTTTTGGTGGACACAACATCTTTATTTTATTTTTATGTAGTGCTGAGGTGCCTCAGTCTGGCTGGGCACAAATCACGAGCCACTCAAGCAGGAACAAACTTTATTTCCGAACTCCCCCGAATGCCACCCACGTGGTCCTTCCAGTGACCACACACCAACCGGAACTCCCCAACCAGAACTCCCTCCACCGGAACTCCACCAACCAACGCGAATCTTCAGGAATCCCCACGAGAGCTCAACCGGAACTCAACAGAAACTCCGCCGAGAACTCAAAAGTCATCATCTTAATGGCTTGCTGGTGTCACCTCTCAACCACTACTTCTGGCAAAATGCCAGGGGCCATTCCAAATCGGCTGTGGCTCTCAACACTGAGGATCAAACCCAGCGCCCCACACATGCCAGGCAAGCGAGTTACCACTTGAGCCACATCCCCAGCCCTCTATTTTAATTTTTAATGGGTTAAATCTAATAGAGGCTTTAATAAACATCTGTAACATTGCCTCCTATCTATGGAGCTCCACTTATCAAAGAGTTATACAACAGACTTATGTATGAGTGCACACCTGTGTATTGTATTGTTTCTACATACCTGCTTGTGTCCATATATTATGTTTGTGGTATCAAAATCGACATATAAATAAATGAGCACTCATAAATTAAATTTCAAGTGTATTGGCTCCAAGTACCTTTTAATTCATGTGGCTTAAAAAAGAAGTTAAATTAAGTAAACAGATTAAAATTATTAACTTACAAGTTTTCCTAGGTGGTCAGACAATAAAGTATTGGTTTCTATATAATGTCTAAAATGAGCTGGGGTGGCCAAGGCCCCCTGACTCAGCTCCACATGGCAACATGGATCAGATGGCCAGCTCCATGAAGCAGGTGCCCAACCTGCTGCCCAAGGTGCTGAGCTGGAGCAGGGTCAGCATGTCCTGCTGGGGGTGGCAGAGCACAAGAGCTTCTAGGGGACTCAGATGGTCAGTATCAGTAAGGCCATTAATACACAGGAAGTGGCTGTAAAGGGAAAACAGGCCAAAATATCATCCTGGGCACCCACAATGAGAAAGGAGCTTAAACCTGGTCTGTGATCAGTCTGCTGCCCCTCTACAGAAACACCATGCTCTGCTGGAAGTTTGGCCATGTGTTCCACAATGGAACACTTCTCCATGATGGACACCCCAGTGTCCCGAAGGACTCTCTAAGATAAAATGAATTGAGTAACATGAGCAGGATATGGGTGCCACCAGAGCAAGGGGTATGGACAGCTCTGCAGTATCTACCTCAAACTGCTGAGAATGAGATGGAGTACCATGTCAAGAACCCCTGGTTCCCATAAACCTTCAGATGAACAACCAACATCTGGACAAGCCTGGAGAAAGTGACATCAACAATTTTTTCCAGCTAACAGTGGAGATGTTTTGCTATCTGGAGTGTGAACTGAACCTCTTCCAAACTGTGTTCAACTCCCTGGATGGGTCCCCACAGGGCAGTGCTGCCTCACCCCGAGGATCTGCATCTATCCCTCCCTCCCACTCTGCCCTTCTGAGTGCTACTTTCATCTTTGCCTGTTACTCCTGTGTGCCCTGCTTAATTCTTTGCTCATGCAAGGCCCTCAGGTGTCAGGCCACAGACAGGAACTAGATGGGTGCCAGGGCCCAGAGGAAGAGGGGGGCCTCGTTGCCTAAATGGGGACAGTTGCAGTTTGGGAAAATGAGAAAGTTCTGGAGACAGACATTGAGGATGGCTGCACCACACTGCACATACTTAACACCACCAAACCACACTTAGGAAGAGTTAAGATGGTAAGTTTTATGTTACATATATTTTACCATAATTAAAAATAAAAAGTTCCTCTGACTGTGGAAACTGGACCCCAGCGGCTGGTCACAAGCAGACAACAAGGAGGACCAGCAGCTAGGGGCCTGGGGAGGAGACCTGGTGGACTCTATGGTGGAGCTGGTGGGACATCTGAAGGACCATAGCAAGTTTTAGTGGAGCATCCCAAGGATGCAGCTGCCCTTTGAGGGGTGAATACTGTGGGCAGGCTACTTTGCATGATCTTGAGGGGCAACAGTGGTGGATGCACACCCACTAAGCTGTTCTCCAGTGCAGGTGTCCAGAGACCAGTGGACATGAACCTGAGGTGGGGACAGAGGCCCTGGCTGCTCACTGCATGACCTTCACAGCCAACCTGATAAGGTCACAGAGGGTGGGCTAGGTGGAGAAGAGGCCCAGGGTCCAGCTTTGGGGAAAAGTCATGAAAAGGTGGGGGTAAAGGGATGGCCCAGAGGCAGGCCAGTATGTGAGGGCAGGGAGAGGACAGAGGCGACCAGAGTGGGCTCCAGAGAGAAAGGAGAACATGGACAGTGTAGAGAGGCACTGCGGGCAAGGGCGCGGGAAGGCTTGTGTGGCCTGGTAGGCAGGAAACCGCAGCCTGCTTGCGGAATTGCACAGCAAGGCGCAGGAGGGCCGCTGGGGCCTTGGAGGTCAGGGGCCAGCAGGGACAAGGAGCGTGTGTGGTGCCCAGGACCCTGCAGCCCCAGGGCGGTAGACGTGCATCTTCGCGCCGGTGTCCAGCGTGTGTGCGGAGCTGGCATGTTGGCTGGATCCTGGGAGGAAACAGGCCCCGAGGTGCAGACCTCAGGGCGGAAAAAGTGGGAAGGGTGCACTATCAAGCCCAGGAAGGATGCCAGCTTTGGGGATCCCCTCCCCACTACCCAGCCTGCTTGGACCAGGCGACAACGCTGCTGGCAAGGCACCGCCGCCTGAGGTCTAGCCCGAGCCTTGCTTCTGGGGGAGGCCAGGACCTGGCTGGGGACACGGTGACAGGGGTAGATCACAAGTCCAAGGCACCGCGCGGCCGACCGGTTGAGAAAGGCCTCTGCCACGAGGCTCTCGGGACACCCCTGGCCTGTCACCTGCGTGGACTCACAAGTGCGCGCTTGCTGGCAGACGCCAAGGCGTCCGGGAAACCGAGTTCCCCCGCCCCGCGCGGGCCCTGCCTGCGTTTCCGGAAAGCCGGGTGCGGCGTCCCCACCAAGCACCGCTAGGTCCAGGGGCACCAGGCCTCCCGCATCCTCGCGCAGGGTGAGGACACCCGCGTCTGGCCGGCCATCTGACCGACAGGGCGGGGGACGCAGTGGCCGCTCCGCGTCGGGGCACCCTCCAGGGGAAGGGCTCTGCTGTCCGCCGGGCCCGGCGACCGAGGTCGCACTCATCGGCGCCACGCCGGCCGCTAGCAGCGCCAGGTTGAGCCCCGCAATCCGCGCGTTCAAGGCGGGACGGCACCGAGAGGCCAAGCGACCACCCGGGCGGCACAGCGGGGAGGCGTGGCCAGGCTCTCGGCTCCTGCGGGGTCGCCGCCAGAAGGCCCGGGGACCCGCGAGTGTGCCTCCGCCCCGCCCGCGTGCAGGGACCCCGGGTCGGGCCCCCGCGGGCCGCGGCGCCCACCTGCTCTCACCCGGGGCCTCGGGACCCGGCCCGGCAGCCCCGCAGCCAGGGTGAGCCGGGCCCGCGCCGCGCGGTCCCGGGGTTCCCATGACGACGACGGCGGAGGCCCAGGCGGGGTCGGGTCGGACGCATGCGCGCGCGCGCCGGACGGAGCGTCTTCCCCAGTCGCCCGCTTCTAGTCGCGGGGTCCCCGAACCGCGGTAGGGGCGGGCGGGGCGGCGGGCCGGGCTCTCGGGGCCGGGGCGGCGGGGCCGGGGCCGGGGGCGCGGCCGGGGCGGGGACCTGCGGAAGACGTTGACCCTGCGCTCGCTGCAGGGCGGCCCGGGCTCCTCCTCGGCCATGGCCCCCCCGCCCGCGTGCCGGTCCCTGCTGTCGCCGCTGTCGCTGCTGCTGCTGCTGCTGCTGAGCCTGGCGCTGCTGGGCGCCCGTGCCGAGCCCGCCGCCGGGAGCGTCGTCCCCGCGCAGAGTAGGTGGCCGCGGAGGGTCGCACCGGGCGGCGGCGGAGCCCCGGGGCGCGCGGGAGGCCCCGCCCCGCCTTTGTTCCCGGGAGCGGGTCCGCCCCGTGGGAGGGGAGGGGACCCTCGTGCTCGGGTGGGACCTCGGCTGGGGGGGGAACCCTGCAGCGGTGACGCCGGCCCGGGCCCCCAGGCCGCCCGTGCGTGGACTGCCACGCGTTCGAGTTCATGCAGCGCGCCCTGCAGGACCTGCGGAAGACTGCGCGCAGCCTGGACGCGCGGGTGAGCCGCGGGGCTTGGGGGCGGGGCCGGGCTGGGTGCGGGTCTCGGCCTCGTCCTGTGGCGTGCTGAGGCAGACTGGCCCACCAGGAAGGCCAGCCCTCATCCAGGATCCCCAGGTGGGGGACGGCCTGGGGAAGCTGAGGTCGGGGAAGAGAGTGCTGGAGTGGGCGGGATGGGAGGTCAGGTCGGGCTGGGTGGTTTGGGGATGATGCATGCACTGGACTCTCAGGGATGCCCTCTGGGGCACGAACAGGGATCCCTCAGGTCCTGGGGCTCAACCAAGGGAACTACTAATTGGAAGGAGGAAGAATTCCTGGAAGTAGAGAGAAGGGGAGACCCACCACCCACAAGCCCCGGCGCCTTCTCCTGCACAAGCGCAGAGGGCACGCTGAGCTGGATTCTTGGAAGGAACTGTCCCCACCTTTGGGGGCTACAGTGGGAGGTGCAGGACAAAGAAGCCCTGAGTGGGCAGCTTTGAAGAAGACAGGGAGTAGCTCCTAGTAGAAGACTAGGTGGTGGCTCCAAGCAGCCCCCAGTGGAAGGCAACAGAGGACTGGGGTGGAGCTGAGGCAAAGGAGCAGCCAGGATGTCGGGCAGTACCAGGGGGGCGGAGAAACCAGGAGTCGGAGGACCCCTGGACTGTAGTCAGTGAGGGGAGATGGTCAGTGGGGACTACTTACATGGCTTCTCCTTGCTTTGCAGACAGAGACCCTCCTGCTGCAGGCCGAGCGCCGAGCCCTGTGTGCTTGCTGGCCAGCTGGGCGCTGAAGACTCTCTGCCAGTGCTAATCCCTTTCAATAAACGCCTGCCCCCACACTCATGTCCTGTCTCCTGCTCTGGCCACCAAAGCCCTGCGCCACCCCCAGGAGCCCTGGTTGGGCCCTTCTCTGGGCCTTGGTTTTCCCAGATGTTCCAGGCGGGAGGGGCCCTTCTGGTTCATGTCCCGATAGCACCAGTGCTGAGAGGTGGACAGCACATCTGTCCATACTCACGGACCCACACCCACAAGCATCTGGTACCTGTCTGGGTCCTGCCTGCCTGGCCAGCCTGCCCTTTTTAGAGGCCAGAGGATTGGAAACTGGCCTGACCTCCCTGAGTTCCCAGAGGAGATGCCCCAGGGCAGATCCCCCAAGGCTTGTCTGCGCGGGAGTGGGGTGGCTAGAGTTGGGGGCTCCCTGAGGCTGAGCTGGCAGGCTCCAGAGCCTGGGGCTACTGGGAGAGGGAGGTGGATTGGGCAGTGGTGGGTACTCCAGAGCATCGTAGGGAACGCCCAGGTAGCCACCACTCATCCCAGGTGGGGTAGCTGGCCCGTCTGGGGCTCCAGTTCCCTGGCTACCGCTGCCTGGGTACAGCACTGGGCGCCTGTGCCGCTGACTCGGGAGCGTGGCACATGCGCAGGAGATTGTGGTTCACCAGCCCCACCTCTGGGCCTGCCCGGGTGTTTTTACTGCCTCTGCTGAGGATGTACGCCTGGATCCTCCTCAGTGCTCCTGCCCTGGCCTCCACACCGCTGACCTGTGCTGGAAGGGCCTGGCGGTACCTGGCCTGCAGCCTCTAGGGCCTCAGGTAACCAGCCCCATGGAGGAGCTCACACGGTGGTGAGGAGACACGGATGTCCATGAAAACCCTACAGCAGGCCAGGGAGAGACGGTACTGAGGCCGTGGCAGGCCTTGGGCCTCTGCTGGCCTTCACCCCTTCCTGGGCCGTGCGGTGCCTGCCAGGCTGTGGAGGCCAGGCTGTGCCGCTATTGGTGGGCCTCCATTAGTGTAAGGGAGGCTGGGAGTGCAGCGTGTCTCGTCTGGGTTGCCAGGTTTATCAACTCAAATACAGGAATGAGGACATCGCTTCTGGTGTATGTATTTCCCATGTTCATTCAAAATTCAGACTTAACCGGATGTCCTGTTTTATGGGCAGCCATTAGCCCCGGTACAAACTGACCTCTCACTAAAAGAGACGGGAATGACTAAGAGGGTGTTGCAGGGTGCTCTCTGGGGAGATGCGCTGTGTGACAAACAGCTGGGGCACAGGGCCAGGGGGCTTGTGGGCATGTTCCTGTCTTGCCAGCAGGGGGCTCCGGTGGCAGGGAGCTGGAGCAGGAGGTGGTCAGTGGTTAGGAGGAAGGAGGGGGTGCAGGGGCAGGGAGCCACCTTGGAGCCTTGCGGGGCTCTGAGCAAGTAGATGAGGTATGTTTGAGCAGGGTGCTTCTGGCTGCTGTAGAGAGTGACCTCTGCAAGGACAGAATGGCCCTGTGAGGGGCTGGGGCTGGGCAGCTGGCCACAGGCAGGATCAGAAGCTGTTGGGTCTCAGATGTATTTGAAAATGGAGCCAATGGGGTTTGGAGTGGGGAGGGAGGAGGCCAGGGCAACCCTTGAGCTCTGGAGGCCACCAGACTGGTACACGTGCATGAGCGGCCAGAGAGGGAAGGTTGGAGTAGATAGGCTGGCCGAGATCTGGGTGGCCGAGTGTGGACAGAGGAGAGAAGTGGAGAGGCTGGGAGATGAGATGACTCCCGGAGCAGAGGAAGAGGCCTGAGGTGCATCCCAGACGGAGGGCAAGGGCTCTGGGCAGAGGGAGGGCTGGGGTGTTACCTGCTGCTGAGGGGAAGCTCCAAGGCCACACCACAGGATCTGGCAACGCTGGTCACTGGTGACCTTGACCAAAGACAGGCTCAGTCAAAGGTGCCGAAGGCCTGACCTCAGCCTCTTGAAAGGAGCACAGGTGGAGGGAGCCCACTTGACGTGTGGTCAGGGCCAGTGGTGTGGTCTGTCCTGGGGTCTCCGACAGCTCTCCCGCCTGCCTGGGCTCACGCACCTGTGACGTCTGCAGGGAGAGAGGGCCCACAGCAGGGCCACGCCGTGCGGCTTTTTGTGAGTCATCTTTTGTTTTCCTGGACTTTGTTTTTGCCTTACTTGCTCCATAACACGCCCTTCTGGCCTCCTCACACTGTCCAGCGTCAGGTGGTCCCTGTGCATGCAGGGCATCTGCTCGTGCTCCTCTGGGTCCTTCCACTCTTGTCCTGGTGTGGAAGACCCCTGTCCTCCCAGCTGCCTGTTTCCCCGCAGACTTGTAAAAATGTGTGGCAAGGAAACTTCCTGCATCTGCTGGCATGTCCACCTCAGGACCTTGGTACCTGCTGGACTGCTTTCTCTCCACCAAGTCACCGCCTTGGCCTCTGTGACTGTTCACTCCTCAGTCTCTTATCTCTGCTGGCCTTTCTTGGTCAGGTTTGTCCCTAAGAGTAGTGTGTTCGTCTCTGCAGGTTGTAAAGCCCAGGAGGGTGAGGCTGATCTGGCCAGGGCCCAGCATAGGCCGGTGGGTGACTCTCAGGAGCCTGGCCCTCTCCCACCCTTCCCCTGGAGGCGGTCTTTCTGCCCCAGGGTGAGAAGGTGATAGGGTGCATTTTGCAAGCAAGGTCCCAGGCACATGTAATCGCAGTCAAGGCCCTTTAGCTGGGGAAATGATTGTTTTTTGCTGTTGTTTTCCCTGTTTTTGCCTGGTTTGTGGTACTCTTGTTAGAGCACACTGGGACTCTGGACTGGCCCTCTTTTCCCTCTCTGGTCTTCCTGTCTCCTGATCTTCAGATTCTACTTTCTAAAAAACCCCTGGCCTTCCCCAGCCTCCCAATCGCCTCTGTTTGGGCCGGTGCCAGCCTTATTCATTGCAAGGCCTCCCGTGGTCGCAGGCGCTGCCCACTTTCCATCTTTGGTTCACACCCCCTCCCTGCCTCACTCCTCTACCTCCCCACAGACCCGCAAGCATGCTGGGCGGGTCGCACCTTTGTCCAAGCGACCCAGCCAGGGTGCCCTCCTTGCTTCAGCCTCTGGGATCTGGGTGGGGACTCTTTGCCCCTGCCCATCTGCTTGGCTCTGAGGCCGTAATAGGCTGCAGATGATCTGGGCAGGTGAATTCCCCACAGGTGTGGGCATGGCAGCAGTCTTGGATGAGAGGGTCCTATGGAAGCACAGGGCAGGGGAGTGGGCAGCGGCAGGGCCCTGCCAGAGCCAACGAGTCTGGGTTTCTGCCTCTGTTTTCTCATCTGTGAAATGGGGACAGGCACCAGCTTCCCCCACCGCCTTGGGGGAGGAAACTGGGGCTCAGCCAGGACGGGGACTGCTCCTTCACAAACCCTCGCCTGCTCTTAGCTGGTTCTGGCGCATTACAGTGCCCTATGGGGGTGGGGCAGGGGGTTGCTGCAACAAGGCTTCCGGGGTCACATGGTTACAGGGGACTTGGGGAAGGGGCTGGGGGTGCAGTCAGGCCAGCTGGAGGGAGGGACCTTTTGCAGGTGACAAAACTAGAGACCCACCAAGGGCACCAGGCCTCATCTCTGTCCTTGGACCTCTCATGGACAGCAGAACAGAGGTAGCCTCAGACTAAGGGTGCAGGGGTCAAGAGTGGAGACTGGACCACTTTGTTCTGAGGTCACCTAAGGTCTCAGGGCCCCTTCATACCCAAGTCTGGAGCCTCAGCTGGGCCCTGTCCAGCAGCTCCTGGAGAGGGCCTTGCCTCTCCCTTTTCTTGGCCCTCACCAGAAGCGCGTTCCCCCAGTGCCCGTCTTCACTTCCTCCAGTCCTCTGATGCTTCCAGGAGCAGCAGTCCCCCACTCTCCACAGTGCTGACCCCTGGCAGGCTGACCCACTCTTCCTGCAGTCTACCTGGCCAACCTCAGGACACTCAGAGGGGCCCGGTGGCTGGCCTGGGGCCTTGGTAGGTGCTCAGGAACCCTAAAGGGGTCGATGAGTGAGACGGTAGAGATTTCCGGTGACTCCTTTGCCCTGTTCTGGAAAGGTCACAGCCGGGCCCAGACAAGTCCTCGGGTTTTGGAAACGTGCAGGGGGTACCTTCCCAGCTTGGTGTTGTCCTCCCCACACCAGGGTCCTTGCACGGGTGGCCCGGGCCAGTAAGCCAATTAACCTCTCTCTCCCACTCCCACGTTCCACCCGCGGTTGGGCCCCAAGGGGACCTCGGCTAGAGGCCCCCACTCCACAGCGCAACGCAGGCTGAGGATCCTTGGCCTGAAGTCCCAGGCCTAACCTCAACCCGCGGGAGTGGGCAACTCTGCTTGGGATTGCCCTTAGGGGTGACATAGGGGAGGGTGCAGAGCAGCTCAGGGCTGGGTTCGGGGAGCGCTGAGCATTGGGCCTGCGACCACCGGTTCCCCCACTAGAACCCCAGGTCTCCGAGCCCAGCCTGCTGCGTCTGCAGGTCCTGCTCCCGGGTCCACGAGAACGCGGCCTAGAGCGGAGAGCCCCCGCGGCACCTGCACCGGTGCCACGGGGCGCATGCGCGGGCCGCGGAGGGCGGGGGCCAGGCCGGGAGGGGTCCCGAAGGCTCTGCACCCGCGCGTCGGCTGCGGGAATCGGGTGTCTGAGTTGGGTTCTGCCTGCGCCGGGCTCGGCGGGGCTGCAGGTGGCGTGGGCATCTCGCAAGCTGGGGCTGCGCCCCCACTCCCCCAGCCCGTGACGCCCCTGCCGCAGGTTCCGGGGCGCCGGGCCCGTAGGAGCCGCGGCGCCCCTCCCCGAGATCTCGGCCGGTCACCGCCTTCAGACAAAGGGATGGAGATGCTTCCGTGACTGCGCCCAGCGGCCGTGGAGGAGGAGGACGCGGTGCTGCGGTCACCGCGGCCCGCACCGAGCCGCGGCTGCGGGAGCGCAGGGGGCGGGGCGGGAGGCTCCCGTCACACGCTCGCCACTCGCCGGGCCCCGACCGCCCCCGAGCCCGGAACCCCTAGCCCAGGCCGCAGCCGCCGCGCGCCCCGGGCCCTGCGCGAGTCTGCCCGGCCGCGCCGTCGTGCCCCGCCGCCCGCCGCGCAGCGCCCCAGTGTGCCACCCGGCGGGCGCGGAGGCGGTGTCTGCTCCCACCCCCGAGATCACATGGTGACCCTCGGCAGCCAATGCAGTGGACGCTAGGACCCTGCGGGACCCCGGGCGCCGCGACTGCACCCGCGCCGCTGCATTATAAATACTTCTCCAAAATGCGGCGCAGCTCCCTGCGCGCGCCCCGGAT